CAACATCATCAGCGACTTCTCTGATGGTTTATAACCATTTCTTCCACTTTTTCCATGTTTTTATCGGTTGTTAATGTGCTTGTGCTTTCGTTCGTCATCTTCAACGTCTTCACGGCCATCTTGGAAACTCTTATACCACTTGTAAACTCTTGTTTTACTTATAGCAGACTCACTATAGGCCTTTATTAACATTTCACAGAATTTATTTCATTTTTTAAGCAAAATTGGATACAAATTCTCTTTGATCCATTTCTTTTAACGAGCTCATAAAACACGTCTAACCTTAGCGGCTGCCACAGACAAAGTAAACAATGAAAACAGCTAAAGTTTTTATCATACTTCGGGGGCATGTATACCAACATAATAAATAAAATTTTATGACAACCGGACCCTCCGAAGCCGCGTTATTTTCTGAATACACCTCGTAACTGGCCAATACGTTTTAACCACTAAAAATGCTACTTGGGCACCTTCGCGATGATGATGTAGACAGACATTTTGTGTGAATCATAAAATAAGACAATTTAGATCCAAATACCAAAAACATTTGCTTCAGCGATAAGTGTAGACTAAATGGAAATGTTATTAACAAACAAAATTGTCGTTATTGAAGCAATGAAAATTCTCATCTCATCAGAGAAATTCATACCCAGTATCCTGAAAAACTCAATGTCTGGGCAGGAATTTTGGGAGATTGTATTATTGGTCCCATATTTATTGACCAAAATTGAATGGTCAAATTTATTTTAAAATACAGCCACTAATAATACATGAACTATAAAATCAAAGAGAAGAGGATGAGGAAGTAGTTTTGGATAAAAAATTATTACATTTGCACCTCATTATGTAGTAGCTGTTGGGAGTCCAACTTGGGACTTGTCTGGATCAGAATTATCCAGAACAGTAGGTCAGTAGAATAGGAGCAATAGAGCCTCTTAGATCTCTAGATCTGACACCATTGTACTTTTTCTTATGGAGTCACTTGAAAACTGTGGTCTTCAAAACTCACCCTTATTCTTTTGAAGATCTGCGACAACGAATAGTTCAAGAAGTCGAGCATTTTCAAACCCAACATTTCAAAATGTTCGATGAGAGTTTGAGAATATATTTTACTATTTCTTACAAAGAATGAAAATTTTAATGGCGAAAATGACGCACTAACGCTATAACATGGTTTTTAGTGCTTTTCCAGTTACTAAAACTATAGTTGCATTTTGGCCTATAGATTTAACTAAAGAAAATATACGTTAAATTATAATTATCATCCAATCTCCTAAATTTGTGTAAATTTGTTATTAAACGTAATTCTTTAAAAAATAATTATAATAATTATTATATTAATTTTATTTTATCGTAAACGCGATTATTTTTTTTTAAACAGTTATTGCGAGTCAAAGTCAAGGCAACTTCAAAGTCGCATGTTTCCTGTTTGATAATAAACCTTTGCATGCATAATGCATTCACATGTGTAAACAGCGACTCTAATTATTTAGTTCTAATTACCTTTTAAATGCGTGGTAATTTTATACAGTTCGATTTAGTGATTTCGTTTATCGAATTCATGTAAATCGTGTGAAAATAGTTTTGAAAAAGTTCAATTTGGGTGTAATGAGGTACACGTGTCGGGAAACGAAATAAAATAGTATTTTTCCATAGGGAGTTTCTACTATTCTATTTTTAACAAAATTTTTCTCATATTTTATTTGCATATTTCTTTATATGTAGCAAGACAAGCGCGAGTAAACGAGAAAATTTACAGCTCGACTTGACAACAAGGAATTTAATAAAAATCTAAGGGTGTTTAATGATGTTCAACTTGTTTAAAGAAAATAGTAGAATGGCATTTCATTAGGAGTACGGACAATTTTTTCAATATACATTTCTGAAATCCTTTAAAAATCACTCCATTTTAAATATCTTTGTGCTGCGCATAGAGTGCGTCTTTTTTGTTTCACAATAAATTATATTCTCTCAATAATTAGTATCGATATCTTGAAAAATTGAGTATTTTAAGGAGAAAGTTACAATAATGACAGTGATTACAAGAAAATAACTAAGAAACTATCTTATGGAAAAAAATGTCAAATAAAAAGACAATAGTTAAATTAAAGAAAAGTTGCATATTTATAAGCCTATTAAAATAAAAGTTATAAATTGAAAAAAGCCATCGGTTCTAAAAATAGTAAAAAAACTAAAAACCTTTAAAAACCAAAAATCGTTTAAACTTCGTTATTCCTGGGAATTTTGAAAAAATAAATTATAACCATTTTTAGTTTTGACAGGTTTTCAGTTTTTTTTAAATTATTCATAACCGCTAATTTTTTAAAATTTAACCCACCCTAGGTCATTTTGAGGATTTAAATTAAAAAGCTAAAAATTAAAGTGTTTTGATTATCGCTGAACAATTTGTTTATTTATGCTTTTTTAGTTTATTATACCTACTTTTGTAAGAATTATTTTTTGTTCTCCAATTTTTTACTAATATTTTTAAGACAACAAAATAATTTAACCCGTACTAAATTTAGTATGTCGTTTTCTACAATTTTTTGAATCTAATTTTTTTATCACGTTCTCAGGTTTTTGAGGTACCAAAAATTGTTTTATGTGTTATAAATAATTCGTGAGCGAAAGGGTTAATTGGATATTTATAACGAGAAATTGGAATAAATATTTATAAAAATTACTTTGCGTATTTTAAAAATTAAACTGTTAATAAGTATTTTGTTTAGTACTGTTAAATAGCAATTTTAAAGAGCTTTTCAATGAGAAAAAATTAGTTGGGGTGGCTGGGTGAAGGTCATTTTTGTGGTCACACTGATTTCTCCACATATCCTAGAAATGGTTATAAGATATTTTTAATACCTTTTTGAGGTCCAGACCTATAGGGCATTGCTCGGTTTTAAATATTGTAATTAAACTTTTAATTTTTAATGAAAATATCTTAATATTGAATAGTTTATTGAATTGTATATGTATTTTTATTATTTTTTTTGCAAATTAATTAAATGTGAAAAAAACATTTGAAAAAAATGATAAAAAAACGAAATGTTTTTTTCACGTTATTTTTTATTTGTGTCTCAATTTTAAGAAACAAACTCCAGATAAAAATATTTTAACCCTTTTCGAATTGGCTAAAATTTTTATACTATATACTGACTTTTTTAATTTTTGGTTTTTAAACAGGCTTTTTAGAAAAAAAAACAAAAAAAAAATCAGTCCTGTTCTATGGAGCTTTTCAGTTTTTAGATATGTCATTTTTTATTTTGTATTTTTTATACTTTTATTTTTTTCTTTTTATTTAGATTTATTTTTTTATTTAAGGATATTATGTCCTGCAAAATCCATTTAATTGATTATAATTTTTAAACTGACATTTTACATTTTTACTTCTGAAATTTTCAAAACGTAATATTAAGGGAATACTAATTATGACAGGAAACATATTAATTTTCATTAGTTTTATTACTGTTGAAATTTCTCAAAACATCAAATATTAATAAATCTTACCGTTCTTAACTGTCACTTTATTTGTATAAAATCGTAAATTTTCATTAAAAAACTTTTGCTTCGCATCTTAATTTAAAATAATTAAGTATGCAGTTTGTTTTCAGAATTGGGTTTTTTAATAGTTTTTGGGATCTTTTATAATCATTATATAAAATATGGAATTACGAAAAAAATTACAATAAAAAAGCATAAAAATTCAAAGAAAATTATAAAATATAAAAAATTCATGGTTTTTGTTTTTTCTGTAACTTGTCAGATAAAATCCTTATCTTGTTTTTAAATATTAGATTGTTTAATCATACCTTGAACACTTTAACAAATTTATAAAACACAAAATTTACAACCTTTATCTGTATTTACCACATACTATTACTGCAAAAACATATTTGTTTTCATGTGTAAAATAAAAATTCCACCATGATTTAAATTTTTCCAAAATTTATTTTTAAATTAAACTTTTTTATCTTCACAAAAGCTTATGCATATATACAATACATTCGGGATTTCCATATTACGAAAACTTTTTTAAAACTTGAATGATTTAAAAAAGTTTAAATTTAAAAAGTTTGATAACCATCTATGTTTCAATTTATTAGAAACTCGCTAAATATAAGCCAGAAAAAACTTTAAATCTTTTAATCGATATTTCCAGTTGTGACAGTCTGCAAGGAGCCAGATTTAATTAAACTTAATTATAATGTGTTAAATAAATCTTCATAAATTAAATTATTACATGGATTTTTATGTTTGTCCTATTATTTTTAAATAAATGTGTTGGGTTGCCATGTAATTTACAAAATTACACGCCAAATTGGGTCAAAAATAAATAACAAATTTTTTAGACATGCTATAGACGAAATAAAATTAACCCTAAATTCAGTAATTTATAAATAAAAAAACTAAATCACATAACGATTTTAAATTACAAAATATAAGCAACAGGGGACCAAAAAATCGGATTTTTTCAATTTATAAAATCGTAAAATATCTGTTAGGTGACCAATGGGCGTTATGGGAAAAGATTTCCGATAGGCACAATGTTGAGAGTAATAATAAAGGTGTGGCGACTTGGCATTACAATAAGCCTTTATGGCGTACGGGTACTTAAAGGAAAATACTGACAGCAATATTTTTGTAGGTACTTATTTACATAAGTTGTTTGAGATTGTTTGGTAATTTCTCAATTTTTAGTTTTGGTTGAAATGTGGAAAGATGTTTGAGTTTTTCATAAAATTGTCCTAAATTATCCAATGCGAAGGTTGGTATTATTTAAATTTCCATTGTGTTTTATTCGTTATTTTAATGTTAATTTAAGTGGTAATTAGTTTTTTTACGCAATAATGTGATGGCATTTTTAAAAAAAGAAAAAAAATTAAATTTTATTTGTGTTTTTTTACAATTTTGAGCTTTAAAATATATATTGTATTTTAACGTATTTTTTTAAGTGACAATTATAAAAATAAATAATTAATTATACAAAATTTAGTATTTACCTTTAATAATAAATGTATTGGAGGACTGATTGTAGGTGATTTTTTCTTTTCCTGGTGACACAAGCAAGACTGTATCCACGGCATTATAAAAGCCAATATTAAAAAAAAATAATTCACAAATCTTAACACAAATAATAATAAATATACTACGCAGATTTTTAGTTAGTAAGCACCTAACAATAATAACAAAACAAATTTAAATCTCTTTAGGTAGCGGGTTAGTAGAGCTTCGTCAAACTTTTATAAAGTCAATTGTTCATTTTTTTGTATTTCTATCAAATGCACCACGTGCGTAATGTAGCCGGCATTATAGACCGGCGCACGTCACTGATTTTGCTTCCGACGTAAAGCGCTCGGCTGCCCGGACGCGACTGAACCGACCCAACGCAAGAACTTCGCGAGGAAACTCTCGGGCCAAGGCGCCGCCCCTGTGTCGCCGTTCCCCATACAGCCCGCCGCCAAAGATGCACCGTTTTAGATTTTAACAATACAGGGTGTTATGTAATTAATGTTATATATTAAAATACTGAATACCTTTTGACATAAGGAATAAAGGAAAAATATTTAAAAAAACATTTTTCCAAAGATAAAGAAAAAATATGCATTAGAAGTTTTTTATATTTTTTGTGATACGCCACTGGTTACACACTTAGTTTATCTCTGCACGCTTGTATTTTGTGAGTACATAGATACCAACCAACAAAGTAGCTATGCGTTGCCAGATGTAAAAAATTGTTACTAAAAATTTTTCTTGCAAAAAATAAATAAAAACTCAATAAATACAGAAGTTTTATACCCTTAAAGCTCTAATACCCTTCTGTATTTATTTACTGATCCAGCTATTAGCTAAGCAATGATTAGAAAATTTAGTACCTTTGAAATTTGAAATCCATAACCACAAAATTAATTTTTTCATCAGTTTTTTTCTCTGGTTACTCAGATGAAATTGGGACCAGTTCACAGGTTAAACTTTAAACATTTAATTTGTGTAAATAAATCCAAAATCACTTCCCTTAGTTAAGATATTTACAATTTGAAAACATAACCTAAAATTTAAAAGAAATGCACTAGATTCTGTCATAAAAGTTGTCAGATTTTGTTTGGATTTACCTTCAGTACAAAAATGACATAACCAACAATTAATAAAAACGCCAAATTGACAATTTGCATTGTTAATTTTGTCATTTTTGTAATTAAGCTAAATTTAAACAATGTTTGTCAACTTTTTTGAGAGATTTTGGAAACACTTGTTACCAACCATAACATAATAAATCCACCAGATTAACCTAAAGTTCCTAGTCGATCAGTGGCGTACTTTTTGGTAGGATAAAGGTTATTATAAATTATTTTTAGACTTTGGAATTTAGAAAAAAAAAGTTTCAGGTGCTTCTTTATGGTCCCTAAGGAACAACCCATTTTAATATATAACATTAATTACATAACACCCTGTATATTCAAATTTTATTTTTTAGATTATAAAGCTTTTGTAAACTTTAATCAGGACTGCTCGAACTAAAATAAATTTTCAGCAAATTACAAGGATCCACGATGAAAAAAATAATTTCTTTAAAGAAATAAAAATCACTTTGATTCAAAAGATTTGCGCTTTTGAATGGGGCCAAGAGATTAATCTATTCGTTTAAGGTTTATTACAAGCGATTTCTTGTTATACCCAGAAATTGCTTGTATACAAGAACCAAAAATATTTCTTCCGAATATATTCCTCTTTTGAGTGGAAAAAAACGTTTTTTAGCGCAAAAAAATGGGATTTTAACAAGAAAACTGCATCTCTTAATTGGAAAGCTTAGGAACTTTCTAAGAAAGAAAATTTGTCTTGCTTCAAAAACATATATTGACCTAACCACATTTTATTTTGATTTTAGAGCAAATATCTCTTGGTCCAATAGTATACAGTGTGTCGCATTTAAGATGAAGACACCCCCATATTTTCGCTATTTCAAGGAATAGAGATTTGAATTTTTTCACATTCATACATGTTGGTGGGTCACATTTTTTAAGATACTCAACTGAAATCTGAACTTTAAACTTGGCCTACTACGAATTCACAAACGGGGCCAGTTGTCGATATTTTGCTTCGCGTTAGAAATATCAAAAAAAAGTATTAGAAAAAGTTGTTCAGAATATTATTCTAACCCCGTATACCGATTTTCATAGCAAAATTCGCATTTCTAATTTATTTATTTTTATTAGTTTTATTATTGTTTTATACCATTTCCTTAATTTAATAAATTATAATTGATTTGTAATTTCCAAGAATTGTTTTAATTATTTATTTAACGGTCATAAACACTAGTTAGTATCAAATTATTACTTTCCATGGCTCCTTTATTATCAAACTAAAAAATGAACTTGTAATAATTTTGTGTAAAAAATTAAAAATGCGAATTTTGTTATAAAAATTGGTATATGGGGTTAGAATAATATTCTGAACAACTTTTTCCAATAACTTTTTTCGATATTTCTAACGCGAAGCAAAATATCGAGAACTGGCCCTGTTTGTGAATTTGTAGTAGGCCAAGTTTTAAGTTCAGATTTCAGTTGAGTAGCTTAAAAAATATGACCCATCAACATGTATGAATGTGAAAAAATTCAAACCTTTATTCCTTCAAATAGCGAAAATATGGGGGTGTCTTCATTTTAAGTGCGACACACTGTATATTGCTTTATTCAAAAGCTTCTGATCTTCACTGAAACTACCAGAATTGTTAGTATTTAATCTTAAATTCCCCTCACCACATAGGCCTTTTGATTTTAACAATTAAAATCAATCTTTGAAAACTAGAAGATTAACTGAAAAAAAGGTTTACAAAAAAATATTTCAATAAAATAAGACATTTATTGTTTGATATCAACAACAGTCAATAAACTAACATAAATATGATTTAACATTTAACAATTTTTATTACATATTTTAATTAATACCTTACCTTTAATAACATTAAACAAATTAATTAAATTTTTTTATTTAAAAGAGTTTTAATGATTCCAACTCTACTGTGAAAGTACATACAACACGGCATAACACAACACAACCGGCAAAATGTATATTAAAAATACCTATAATATTTAGAATTATAATATTATATAACTGCCCCTAGAAAATGCAACTTGCAATGATACAAAACGTACTAAACATGTGTGCGGCATACGGTGTGCGCGTTTTGCATCCCCTCGCATGTATCAGAAGCTATAGCTGTATACAAGATTTAGTTAGAAAATTGACATGATATTAAAAAAAAGTTAAATAAATTACATAATCTTTTAAACAATGTTGTAGGGTTCCAAATATTCCACTTCCTTATTCGCAAACGTAATATCAAAAAAGTTATTGGCTATTTTGTATTGACGCGCATTTGTCAAATTTTAACGAAAAGAATTAATAACTCGAGAACTATTCACTGCAGGTTTAGGACATGGCAAAATAATTTAACTCAGAATTTTATACAGAATTTAAAAATATTAAAATATATGGAGTGTTCTGTTTGAAATAACAAAGTTAATGTCACTTCCGGTTAAAACGGAAGTGGAATTTTGTTTAAAATATTTAAAAATAGACTTAAATGAATTATAAACGCTTTTTTTAATTTTAAATTGATATCTTTTTTCATTCCCCAGAAACTTCTAATGGGCCACGAATGTGAAACACCCAGTATACTTTGCTTGATCAATTTTGATTTTACGTTTCACACCAACTAATAATGTCGAATCTTTGACATTTTACAGTTTTTAACGCAAACACTTTAATTTATAGTATTTAATACTATATTATACTGTATTTAATACTAAGTATTACTTTTTTTGTTCAAATGCAACGAAAACTGGAATACAAAAAAGAACGTGTTATTTTATTTTTATAAACATTTTTTAGGGAAACCTCTCTTCAAAAATATCTTTAGCACTTCTCATAACTTTCCCCTCAACAAAAAATAAGTTATGCAGGCAACGTTGGGAAGAAAAAACATCATCCCCTGAGAACCAGTCGGCCTTAGTGGGTCAACGCGGACTTCCGAATGCTTCAAGCTACGCTTACACGGCCTCGTATTGCTGTGACGGAAACTCCACAGTAAAATAAAATAATAAATAAAAACCTTTTTAAAAACAAGCCGTACAATCAATGAAAATTGATTGTATTGTCACCAGCATCAAAAGTGCGTGCAAAATTTTAGTTCAATTCGCTTACTAATTAACAAAGCAAGTTAAATAAAAGCTTGCAAATTGCAGATCAAAACCCAAAAATTATTATTATTTATATACATAGTTCTACAAACCAGGGTATTTTTGGCAAAAACACATAATTATCAAATTTTCCAAAAATTTATTAAAAAATCACACAAAACACGCAAAAAATTGGTTCTCAGGATCCTGGTAAGAATTTATTGACGAACCAAACCAAAGAAATAGATAATTTTAGCGATTTCCTATGTAAATTGATTGCACTAAGGCTTGGGTTTGCTTGAATTTTTTAATTGTTGAAAATCTGCGTTTTTCTAAAGAAATGTATCAAAAATTCTTAGTATCCTGGTCTTAAGATCCTGTCAATTTATTTTCTTCGTCAAACAACATTTTAGGCATTTAAAACTCACTAATATTTTGTTATAAATCTCACTTATTTTTTATATTAATTTTTTGTATTTTTTTATCATATGAGGCTTATTTAAAAAAAATCTTTTTAATGGTATTTAAATTATTTAAAACTATAAAACTGAAAAGCTGGCCAAAGATTTAATATGATACTTTTCTCAAGCATAACGGTCAAATTTTATTAACTTTTGAATGAATCAAATTGAAACATGTTTCCTTTTGAAGCAAAAATTAGCATTTTTAATGAATATACTTATATATATACTTATCTGTACCACCATATAATATATTTATACAGCATTAAAAAACCGTTCAATTAACAAGTTAATTGATTATTGTGAAACATTTTAAAACATATCTTTATGTAAGCATTACTTTTATTGCTATATCAAAAAAATAACTATAAATCAAATATTTATAACAAGTAATTATGTTTATACATATTATAATTAGCTTATTAATTTAATTAATTAATAATTAAGTTATTTCTAAAATTGTGGTTTTAAGGGTGATTTCCTCGTTGATTTCAGTGAAATGTTAAATGTTTACTTAAAATTGTAAAAAAAACAAAATATAAAATTTTTAAATACACATTGACAAGTTTGTGGCTTTATAGCTTTAAAAATTTCGGCTGAAACTTCACCGTGAAGTGCTCATAAAACATTCTCTTCACTTTCACTGTGAAAAACTGCTTATTTATCAGATTTGAACGGTTGTTAGTCCTTTTTAAAGGGATTATTTCGATTTACACATAAAAATTTGACATTT